TCACTCCGGCAACGGTGGGGATTCGAACAGCCATTATGGCTGTTCACTATTGATGTTACTAGCAGGTGCTTAAGCTGCCTGCACCACCGCTCCCATTAGCAGGCCAATGGCAACAGCAAGTGTGATTGGATTAGGTGTGATATGCAGAGAGATAGTAGGCGTGGAGAAATCAGCGTTGGTAATAAGACAGGAAACCGAGGTCTTGATTCAGTCCAGGTGGATGCACTGTCTTGAGCTTTGTTATCGGTTTCAATTCAGCAGTCTCAATTCCGCAGCTGCATGTGAAGGAGGGGGGAATCAAACCTGGTTCTCCCAGATTAGAGTCTGCTGCTCTTAACCATTACACCAAACTGGCAGACCTTTGGTTTGATACAGCAGGGTTCCTATGTTCCTATATTTGAGGGTGTACTTAATAATGAGCATATCCCATAAAACAGGCAGCTTGCATTGAGACATCACATATAAAGTGGTAATGAAGGGAAACTGTGCATTAATCCAAAAATGTGCTGTTGCTGGGTTTAGGTGCGTTTCTTGCATCAAGAATCACAATTCAACACTAATTCTAATTCCCCAGGACTTATGAATACAGGCAAGCAAGTTAACCGCCATTGCTTTCCTCTCTAGTAGCTGGGATTCTAAGCCTGGATTAAACCCTGGTTTCAGGTCCTGGACGGTGTGCAGAAAACTAATTCTGACTAAGAGAAACATCTACCTTTGTATGTCACAAGTAGAAGGAGGCAGCAATTAACAGTAATTCTTGATGTGAGGAGAAGCGGGGAACACACATGGACCTGGCAAGAACCTTGGTTGGTGCACATTTTTCTTTAGCTGTGGTTATGTGCGATATCTGAAGGCGGCCCCTGGTGTGAAGCTGAAACTGTGTTTGCCGGTACCGGTAACACACTCCTACATTAATTCTCACAGTAATTTAACTTGCACCTGTACTGTTCCGTAACCATTTCAGAGGGGAGTAAACTACTGCTGCTCTCTGCCTTATTTACTGGCAAAGAAATAACACAGCGGCTATTCCCTGTGTTCTTCTCTTGAATAACTGTGGGTGAAGGATGCTGCCTCTGAAAAGGCTACTTTACTTAGTCAGCGGCAGGGCTAGAAGTAAAATGGTAGTGAAAGGCTAATTCGCATGACAGTAAGAAATACACATAAGCATACAAATTGAATCTCAGGAACATGTCTTCCTGAGGTGTCCATTATATAATGAAGCTCGCACAAAACTTATCGACCCCCTTTTGGTTGGCTCCTCAGATCAGGATAAGGTAGAGAAATTGCTTTCCAATTCTGATCATATTGCGCTACAGCAGATAGCGAAATTTTGTTTTTTGGTTGTAAAAGTTCATCAGCGTCCAGGTAGCCATTCGGGTTAGGACTGCCTGATTTTAATCCCATTGATTGTTTATTATTGCTATTTTACCCTTTGTAATACTAAATTTTGTCCAATATTACATCGGATTTTTGGTTTTAGTGATTAAAATGTCTGTATAATTTTATCTTTTATTAACCTTGTCCTATCTTAATAGATTTACCATCTGGATACTTTTTGACATTGTAATCTATTTAAATGGTAATATACTTGCAGGTACGGTTTTATATTGCTGGCTATGTGCTGTAATAAATTCATTCATTCATTCATACAAATTGGCAAACTTAAAATTTCCCTCTATGTTTCTCGAGCCCTGACCTGGACAGCCTCATGTCGTCAGATCTCAGAAGCTAAGCAGGGTCGGCCTTGGTCAGTATTTGGATGGGAGTCCACCAAGGAAGTCCAGGGTCGCTACACAGAAGTAGGCAATGGCCAACCACCTCTGATAATCTCCTGCCTTGAAAGCCCTACAGGGTTGCCATAAATCGGCTGTGATTTGATGGCAAAATCTACATATGAGTGTGTATGTGTGTGTGGAACAAAAATGGTACATCAAACAATAATTTAATCCCAGGGCATTTATAGCTTGCTGCCACAAATAAAGGTAATTCTGCTGCCCTACAGAGAAAGGGAGGTAAAATCAACCCCCCTCCCCGTCGCCAGCTTGAGAGCCAGTCTGGTGTAGTGGTTGAGCATGGACTCTAATCTGGGAGAACTGGGTTTGATTCCCCACTCCTCCACATGCAGCTGCTGGTGTGACCTTGGGTCAGTAACAAGTTCTCTCAGAGCTGTTCTCTCAAGGGCAGTTCTCTCAGAGCTCTCTCAGCCCCACCTACCTCACAGGGTGTCTGTTGTGGAGAGGGGAAGGGAAAGGAGATTGTAAACCGCTCTGAGACTCCAAGTGAAGGGTGGGGTATAAATCCAATTTTTTCTTCTTCTCTTCTTTTCCTTGGTAGCTGACGTGGTGGTTATGATTTTACTCTGTTCTCCACAGCCAGCTCGGTCTCTTCCTTCTGGGAGCTTCCTGGGCACTGGGATGAGAGCGCAGAAGCTGCAGAGAAGGGTGAGGGGCTTGTTGGAGATGATGGGCTGTTTGCTTCCACCTTGGCATGATGCCCACAGCCCAGAGAGGCTCTCATTTCCCCAGTCCTCCAGGCCCTCCGGCGGGAACCACCTGCCAATCATACGCCCTACTAGGCAATGGCCTCGTTCATTTTCTCGGAACATGGGGGCGGGTGCCACATTGGGGAAAAGGAGTTCAGAA